GGTAAGACAGAAGGTGATGGTCAGAGTGGGATGTTGGAACTGAGATTATGTTACTAGTACTGACAAGGTTTAGGTTTATGATTGGGGAAGAAAATGCCTGAGACAGGGTGGAAGGTGGAGAGGAGACCCAGGAAACAAGAGGTCAGGGTATTTGAAGGATCTTCTCTGAGAATACTGAAATCAGCCAAGAATCATGATGGAAGGAGTGTTAAAGAAAGTGACAATAAGCTAGGAACTAAACTTTTTCAAAAAGTGAGGGAGAGTGAACCAGAAATCACCAGATGACTATAAGAGGGAGAGGTAGAGGACAGCATGTGAGACAATGTGAAATTTAAGCCTGGATATTTTTAGGGAGGATGAAAGGAGAATGATCTAAAAGTAGCAATGAAGAACAAGGAAGATAACTAACCCACTTTCAGAGGCCCTAATGGAGAAAAGGTTTTGAGAATGAAAAGAGCTACCATTCACTAGGACTTTAGGGAAAACTGTGTTATCAGGGGAGTCAGGTTTTGGTCAACGCAGGAGGGTACAGAGAACTTTCACAGAAGACACTGAATTTATCAAAGAAACCACAGTGGCAGATGGAAGCTTCTGATCTTGGTACATATATCTTAATGTGCGGCCAAAAAAAAAAGTGGCTTTTGCAAATTGTAAGAAAAAGAAAGGGAGGAAGTGAGGGAGGTAGGAAGGAAAGAGGAAAGGAAAGATATACAAATGACAAATAAAGCATATGGGGACTTCCCTGGTGGTCCAGTGGTTAAGAATCCGCCTTCCAATGCAGGGTACATGGGTTCGATCCCTGGTCAGGGAACTAAGATCTTACATGCTGCAGGGCAACTAAACCTGTGTGCCACAACTACTGAGCATGAGATCCACAACTAGAGAGCCCACATGCCGCAACTAGAGAGCCCACATGCCGCAACTAGAGAGCCCACATGCTCTAGAGCCTGAGCACCACAACTAGAGAGAGAAGCCTGCACGCCACAACGAATATCCCGCATGCCGCAACTAAGACCCAACACAGCCAAAACATAAAATAAACAAATATTTTTTAAAAGACCTTTCCTTTAAAAACATATAGATAAAGCATATGAAAAGATGCTCCACATCACATGTTATCAGGGAACTACAAACTAAAATAATGAGATACCACTACACACCTATCAGGATGGCTATAATCTGAAACACTGGCAACACCAAATGTTGGCAGGACTGGAGCAACAGGAATGTTCATTCACTGCTGGTGGGAATGCAAAATGGCACAGCCACTCTGGAAGACAGGTTGAAAGTTTCTTACAAAACTGGACATACTCTTACTGTATGATCCAGCATTCATGCTCCTTGATATTTACCCAATTTATATGAAAACTTACGTCCACATAAAAAGCTGCAATGGAGTTCCCTGGTGGTCTAGTGGTTAGGATTTGGCGCTTTCACTGCCATGGCCCGGGTTCAATCCCTGGTTGGGGAACTGAGATCCTGCAAGCCTCACAGTGCAGCCAAAAAAAAACTGCACATTAATATTTATAGCAGCTTTATATATAACTGCCAACATTTGAAAGCAACCAATTTTAATTCTCTGTGCAGTGTCCATCACTGGAGAACAGTTTGTGGCTGCCCCTTCACTGCATGTAAGCCCTTTATAAGCCGGAACCTGTCACTCTTGTCCCCCATGCCTGGCCCTCTTTCCTGGCCTCAGTCTGTCTTTAACTGGTTTTGAGACCCTAGAAGCAACCAAGGCGTTTTTCAACAGGTAAATGGATAAACAAACTGTGTGCTATGGACCAAACTGTGTCCCCCCCAAAATTTATATATTGAACCCCCAAGATGACTGCACCCAGAGGTAGGGTGGTCTTTACGAGGTAATCAAGGTTAAATGAGGTTACAAGGGTGGGGCCCTAATCTACTAGAACTGTGGCCTTATAAGACTAAGAGATAGGTCTACCTACCTACCTACCTCTCTGTCTCCCCCACCTCTTCCTCCTTCCCTCCCTCCTTCCCTTTCCACCCCTCTGCCTCATGAGGACACAGCAAAAAAAAGTGGCCATCTATAAGCTAGGAAGAGAAGTCTCACCAGAACCTGACCATGCTGGCACCTGTGCTTGGACTTCCAGCCTCCAGAACTGTCAGAAAATAAATTTCTGTTGATTAAGCTTCCCAGGTATTTTGTTATGGGAGCCCAAAAGACACTGTGGTACATCCATACCATGGAATATTATTCAGTGCTGAAAAGAAATGAGCTATCAGGCCATTAAAAATAGAGGGATCTTAAATGCATTTTGCTAAATGAAAGAAGCCAAATTAAAAATGCTACGTACTCTATCATTCCAACAATATGACATTTTGAAAAAGGCAAAACTAGGTGACAGTGAAAAGAACAGTGGTTGTTGGGGCTTTGGAGGAGGGAGGCAGAGACAAATAGGTGGAGCACAGCAGATTTTTTAGGGCAGTGTAACTATCCCATATGATACTGTAATGGTAGATACATGACATTACGCATTTGTCAAAACCCACAGAATGAACAAGAGTGAATCTTAATATAAACTATGGACTTTAGTTAATGATAATGTATCAATACTGGCCTATCAATTGTAACAAATGTACTCTAATGCAAGATGTTACCAATAGGGGAAACTTGGGGGGCAGGGGAACTCTGTACTATCCCCTCAATTATTCTGTAAATCTAAAACTGTACTAAAAGTAAACTCTATTAAGTATTAAAAACAATTACATGAAATAGAATTTCAGCATCCATAAATAAAGTTGTTTTGGAACACAGTCATGCTCAGTTTACATTGTCCATGGCTGCTTTTGTACTACAACTAGCAGAACTGAGGAGTCAGAACAGAGACCACATGACCACAAAAGCCTAAAATATTTACTATCTAGACCTTTACAGAAAATGTTTATAGGCCCGTTCAAAATTTCATCACCCCACATAAAGGGAAAATGCACGTGGGATGCACATCCCATCATAGGCTGTTCTGAGTAAGCCATTTTTAATTATACAAAGTTGTTAAGAGTCACAAGTACTAATTACATAACCTGATTTTTAAAATTTTAACTAGCTAGCTTCTAATATAGAAAAAAAAAAGTCAAATAAATCAGTGAAGTACTTGAACACCCAAAATGGCAACTCCCAGAAAAAGAGTCCATATTCTACTGAGAAATGTTAGCAAACAGTAACCTTTCACTCCAGTGCCTGCAAAATCTATCCTACTTACTGAACACTTAAGGAGGCAGAATTAAAGTGTTCCACTAAGAAAAGATTGTTAACAGTTTGAAAAGAGAAGCTTGGAAAACCATGGGAAATGGGCATGTTCAGGGAGGGGCAGGGCAAGGTACCTGAGCTGAGTCAGTGAACCTACTACAAAGAACTGAAAGCTCTGTTAAAGAACATTAAGACTAGGAGTCAACTGATCAGATTAGTCAGGAAAATGCAGCCTGGGTATCAGAAGACATAATAATGCTATCAGGAAGTGCCTCACAGTTATAGTTTAAGAAACATCATGAAAATATAATAGTTGACTAGCTGAGAAAACAGATCATAACAACCCAGTATACTGAAGTAGATTTGTTAATAACTGGGGGGGTCTTGGTAAAAATCAAATCTGTAGAAATAACTTAGGAAAGCAATATAGAATAGTGACTAAGTGCACAGGCTTTGGAGGTAGACAAACCTGGTTCTGATCCTGTTTCTGACACTCACTAGCTATAAGACTCTGAGCGTTCGTTCTCTCTAAGCCTCAGTTTCCTCATCTGTAAAATAACAATACCTCACTGGACTGTTGGGAGGATTAAATAAGATAATGCATGTAAGAGCTAAGCAGGGCACCTGACACAAATAAAGTGCTTACCGGCAATTGTTCCTATTACTACGACTACACTTGGCTTGGGATGTAAGAGCTAAATAGGGCACCTGACACAAATAAAGTGCTTAACGGCAACTGTTCCTATTACTACGACTACATTTGGCTTGGGAAAATACATTTGGAAGAGATAGTCTAACGTTTTTCCAACAACTCATAGAAAACCTATCCAAGGACTGAAATAAATCTCTAACACTATATAATTTAAGAGAAGTTCTGCCCTTGGAAAATCAAATGAGGACTTCAGTTCAACAAAGAGAATTGAGATTACACTCTTGCTACTGAGAACGATGGTCCAAGGGGGAAAAAATGAAGGTCAGTCTGGGTTTCCCCCAAATTTTAAAGCTAGTGAAGGGTGTAGGTTCACCGCAGGACACATTCAGGGACGTATACAACCCCAAATTCATACTGAAGCCCAAGAACAGTATTAGTACTATGTCTGGCAAACAAGGGAGGAATATAAGTTTCTTCTAAACACTCAGATGATAAAGCTTCTCCACTCTCATTTCCACTACATTCCATTCCACTCTTCCTGACCACAAAGCCAAACAAAATATCCATAACAAGAAAATTCAGAGTTGTATTCGGAGAGCAATCAGGATTATACCCGTGTATAAGCGTTAGGTCTACGTAATCAGGGACCTGGGGTCAGATGCTGGGGTGCTTTGCTTCTCTGCCAAGATGGGCATCAGCCTCGATCAATAGTGGAAGCTTCGAGATGAGGATTCACATTCTCTCACACAAACCAAACACGTACACGTACACTCCATGGCAAGCATCTCCCACATCCCACACTCTGAGAAAATAGCTTGCAGCCTTTTTGATGGTCACAGCCATCCTGCCCTAAGCTTCCTAATGACGTCGTTTTCGCCCCACAAAATCATCACCTGGTACTTTCCCAGAGGAAGCGGTGAAACACGATAGTAATTCCAATCAGGCAACATTTTACGCTCGCTGTCCCCAGGGCAGAAACCGACAGGTTCTGCTAGACTCTACTAGGACCACGGACGGAAGCAACGAGTGGCCCTCGCTCCCCCGGCAGGGTTCGTCCACACCTGTCACCACAAATGCGCGGAAGTAAGGAGGAAGAAACCTGAAGCCACCCCTGGTACAGTCTCAGATCCCACTCACCCCACTCTTCATCCGGCCGGTGAGGGAGTCCCGGACTAAAAGGGGACTCCATGGTGCCGGCAACGCCAGCCGGCACCCCCGAAACACACGTTCGCCTGCCCTGGAACTCGGCAACTAATATCTGGGACGGTGGCGGCAGACGGACAAAATACCCCGTAACGCTGACGCGACGGTGGCCGAATGAAGACAAATTGCTTCTGCGCGAGTGACGTCAGAGACTAAGCTAATTTTAAGCAAATCGCTGAGTAAATATTTCCCTTTTCGAGGTTTCGGCATTTTCTGTCCCGCTGTTTTAGAGAAAAAAGAAAGAGACGTAATCACTACTTCGGTTAAATAAGATATATTGATAACATTAAAAATGGGGAAGAAAATCCATTCTGAACATACTGGCTCGTCCCCTGAGTATCATTCTCAATACCACAGTGTAGATATATCAGAACAAAACTAGAGACTAAGAAAGTAAAGTTGGTTTAACTTTTACGAATAACTCACTATCAATGTAAAAATTCTCCGTATACACAAGTGTGTGGAAGGAAAACACACAACTATTTTTTCCAAATTCGTTTGAGCTGCCTCTCCACCGGCACAGTACCTGAGATAAGCAAAAATATTATGAATCGTACTTCTAGAAAGACTACGTTTATTTAAACAAATTTTAAAACGTAAATATAAAAGATAAACTCCCCCAAATCAAACTCACCTCCTTAAACATACATTTCTAAAGCATAGTACCTAGTAGTGAAAGTCCAAGCGACCCTACCCTAAGACCTACAATAAGGTAAATTCCCAGTCTTTTTATTACTAAAACTTGAGAAACGGTTTTGTTTAGAAAAATCCATCTACGTCACAAACTCTAACTGAAAATTTTAACTAAGTTTGACGAAGCAGTTTCAAGAATGCTACTTAATGGAATTTCTTTTTAAAGCATTTCAGCAGTTGAATATTTAAAATACTCTACCTTAAGAACACATATCCCCAATGGAGAAAAGACAGTCTCTTCAATAAGTGGTGCTGGGAAAACTTGACAGCTACATGTAAAAGAATGAAATTAGAAAACTCCCTTACACCATACACAAAAATAAACTCAAAATGGATTAAAGACCTAAATGTAAGGCCAGACACTATCAAACTCTTAGAGGAAAACATAGGCAGAACACTCTATGGCATAAATCACAGCAAGATCCTTTTTGACCCACCTCCTAGAGAAATGGAAATAAAAACAAAAATAAACAAATGGAACATAATGAAACTTAAAAGCTTTTGCACAGCAAAGGAAACCATAGACAAGATGAAAAGACAACCCTCAGAATGGGAGAAAATACTTGCAAACGAAGCAAATTTTAACAAAGGATTAATCTCCAAAATATACAAGCAGCTCACGCAGCTCAATATCAAAAAAACAACCCAATACAAAAATGGGCAGAAGACCTAAATAGACATTTCTCCAAAGAGGATATACTGATTTGCCACAAACACATGAAAGGATGCCCAACATCACTAATCATGAGAGAAATGCAAATCAAAACTACAATGAGGTATCACCTCACACTGGTCAGAATAGCCATCATCAAAAATCTACAAACAATAAATGCTGGAGAGAGTGTGGAGAAAAGGGTACCCTCTTGCACTGTTGGTGGGAATGTAAATTGATACAGCCACTATGGAGAACAGTATGGAGGTTCCTTAACAAACTAAAAATAGAACTACCATATGACACAGCAATCCCACTACCTTGAGAAAACCATAATTCAAAGAGTCATGTACCACAATATTCATTGCAGCTCTGTTTACAATAGCCAGGACATGGAAGCAACCTAAGTGTCCATCGACAGATGAACAGATAAAGATGTGGCACATATATACAATGGAATATTACTCAGCCATAAAAAGAAACGAAACTGAGTTATTTGTAGAGAGGTGGATGGACCTAGAGTCTGTCATACAGAGTGAAGTAAGTCAGAAAGAGAAAAACAAATACCGTATGCTAACGCATATATATGGAATCTAAAACAACAAAAAAAAATGGTTCTGAAGAACCTAAGGGCAGCACAGGAATAAAGACACTGAGGTAGAGAATGGATGTGAGGACACAGGGAGGGGGAAGGGTAATCTGGGACGAAGTGAGAGAGAGGCACGGACATATATACACTACCAAATGTAAAATAGCTAGCTAGTGGGAAGCAGCCACATAGCACAGGGAGATCAGCTCAGTGCTTTGTGTCCAGCTAGAGGGGTGGGATAGGGAGGGTGGGAGGGAGACGCAAGAGGGAAGAGATATGGTGATATATGTATACATATAGCTGATTCACTTTGTTATACGGCAGCAACTAGCACACCATTGTAAAGCAATTATACTCCAATAAAGATGTTAAAAAAGGAACACATATCCCTCTAGGACTAAGTGGAATCTTTCCCTCGGTTACTAAACAAAACAAATGCTTCCCAGAATCCTCCAAACTCCTCGTGGCTGGATGATTACTACAGATTACACAATCCCCAATGTACAAAATAGCCCTGGGACCCAAACCCCGAAAAAAATCACGAAATTCCCTTACGTTAAAGGTGATTCCTTCTGTCATCAGCTAACTAATCAGTTTTCATTTCAGGTGCAATTTATAAGATTTTTATTCTTACCCAACTGCAAATTCAAAAATTGGCATAAAACCTAAAATAAAACCAGCAAGAGTCTTCTGTATCCACCAGACAACTTAGCCTTTTTTTTAAGAAAATCACCATGACTGAACTCCAATAAATTTTCGTTTTTTTAATTTTCAAAATTTTAATTTTTTATTCAAGTGCAGATAATTACAAAACAAGCATTTGTGTACTTATTGCCAAGAATTAACAAATATTAACTTTTCCATTTTCGTTTCAGATTTTTCATAAGAAATTAAACATCGTAGATAAAGTTGAGGTCTGCGTTTTCCTCTGCTTCATTTCCCTCCCTCCACATAGACAACTTCCATTATAAATTTTATGGTGATCATTCAAAGCCATTTTTTATTTTGATCATGTTTAAATATGTGTATAGATACATACATTTAGTGCTGTTTGGGGGTATTTTAATTTACATAAACTTATAGCACTAATGTTCCCCAAGTCACTTTTCTCATTCAACATTACTCTTTGATGATCTTTGTTTTAACTCTTCTATGGTATTTCCTTGAATATATACACTTTTAATATACAATATAGACTTTTTTTCATTTCCCTACTGATGAACATTTGGATTGTTCCAACTTTTTACTGTTACATAAAATATATCCTTCTATGGGTATCCTTGTGCATATATGCAAGAATGTCTTTAAGATATATGCTGGATCATGCAGTAGGAGTACTACTATTGGCCAAATTATACCAATTTACACTCTCGTTAGCAGTGATGAATTCTCACCAACACTAGATGTAGTCAGACTTTTATTTTTTGCCTGTGAAGGGTGTGACTATAATTTACATTTAAATTAAATGTAAATTAAAGAGGTGGTGCATCTTTTCATGTTCATTAAACCTTATTTCCTCTTCTGTGAATTGCCCATTCTTATCTTTTATAAAATTTCCTATTGGATTTTCTTTCTCTCAATGATGTGTACACCTTTAAATAGTCTATTCATTTAACCCGTATGTATATAGCAAATACCTTCTCTTAGGTTGACACTTGTCTTTGTTTATGGGGTTTTTGTCCTCTAGGTTTTAATTTTAACATAGTCAAATGTATCAAATTTTGTTAATGATCTCTGCTATTTGTATATTGCAAAAGAAATCCTTCCCCCTACTGAGGGAAGTTTTCTTTTCATAGTTTTAGTTTCATTTTACACATCCTTTTCTTTAAAAAAAATTTTTTTTTAATTCAGTTATTGCTGGGGTATAGTAACACTATTGACTTTTATAGAGCAATTTTGTATTCAAAAACCTTATTGAATTACATCATTCTAATATTTTGTCTGTAAATCCTCTAGAATTTTCTGTGTAGACTTACTGTATACAAACACTAACATTTAAAAATCTATTTTATTTAACATCGTTTTAAAACTTAACCTTTAATATGGAAAATTTCAAACAAACAAGAGATAAGAATCTGTCACTTGCAGGAATTCCCTGGTGGTCCAGTGGTTAGGACTCTGCCCTTTCAGGGCTGAGCACTTTCACTGCCTCACTGCTGATGTCCGAGTTCAATCCCTGGTTAGGCAACTAAGATCCTGCTGTGCGGTGTGGCCAAAAAAAAAAGAAATTTTCATTTGTCCTGTATAATTTCTCACTTTATGATTCTGCTGATTGTAATACCTAGGGGCTTGATTGGTTTTGTTTTTTTGTTTCCTCATTTGTTTTTGCAAAATTTTTTTCTGGAGATTTTTTTTAAATACAAGGAAACATTTTCAATTATCATTAAGAAATGTGCTGTTTGTAGTTTTCTTTTTTTATATGCACATTAAGGAAGCTTCCTTCCATTCTCGTTACCTTTTTTTTGTCATAAATGTTGAATGTTATCAAATACTTTTTCTTTCATTTATTCATTTGCTTTCAACTTAAACCCTTGGCAGAGAAATAAAATTTGAAAGAATTTTATGTCTAGATCCATACCTAGGACTTTACTCTGTCATCTGGTAATGTCTCTTCCCACAGGTTAAGAATCCATGATGCCAAAGTGATGTGCTCAGCCAGGACACGTGGTCCCTTTCTAGACACACTTCTGACAACCAACTAGCCCAAATAGCTCCAAGCCTTGCTCAGGCCTCTGACAGAACTGTGCCAGTACTGTATGCCAGGAGTGTAGACAGAGCTTAGAAATGTGAGGTGGGGAGTCCACATATACATATACACCAGGGTCCGCATGAACAAATCCAGGGGTGGGAAAAGGGGGGCAGTCTCTAGGTCAGGGGCCAACTCTCACTGCATTGCCATATTTTGTCATGAAACTCCATGAAGTCAGAGAATTCTAAATTCAAACCTTGTCTTCCAGGTCATTATGAAGATATATTTGTCAAGAGAACAAAACATTTTAATAGTTTGGTAGCTTTATTTATAACTTTTAAGAGAAATAGAATGTAGGCCTCAATTTGTACCCTGCAAATGTTGATGGGGTGCCTGACTAGTGAATTTATAGCTTAGTTTAAAACTGCATTTCATCAGTACTATTAGATTTTACAATCTGATTGACATTTTTAGTATGGCATCTTTAAGACAAATACCACCCTGAACAGTGAGCCCAAATATTAGAATATAGAGGTTAAAAGCTCAAATTTTGGAGTAAGCCAAATCTTGCTTCTAATCTAGGTTCATTTGCTATGTAACTTTGAGGAAGTGACTTAATCTTTCTGAGCCTCAATTTCACCTGTAAAATGGGAATAATAGGATCTATCTCATGGCTGTTTTGAGGATTAAATCAAATACACATTAAGTGTTTAGGATAGTGACTGGCAGCTAAGTGCTCAATAAACTGCAGCTATTTTAAGGGAAAGGTTTTTTTTTAAGAATGCTAATTTAAAAAAAAATATTTATTTGGCTGCGTCGGGTCTTAGGTGCAGCACGCAGGATCCTCTCTAGTTGTGGCGCACGGGCTCTAGAGTGCATGAGCTCAGTAGTTGTGGCATGTGGGCTCCAGGGCCTGCGGGCTTTGTTGCTCCGCAGCACGTGGGATCTTAGTTCCCCAATCAGAGACTGAACCCACATCCCCTGCATTGGAAGGTGGATTCTTAACCACTGGACCACCAGGGAAGTCCCTTTAAGGGAAAATGTTGACTGCTCCTAGCTAGGCACTATACTAAGTTCTTTATCTGCAGTGTATCACAAAAATCCTTGTAATAACCCAGATACTACTGTTATCTCCATTTTATGTAAAAAGAAATTAAAGCTAATGCAAATGATCTTTCAAACAACCCTGTCAGGACAGCAGAACATATATTAATCCCATTTTGTGAAGATGAGAAATGACTCCCAATTTTCAAAAGACCTGCTCACTTCCAGGAAGATGGTGATCAGTAGAGCCAGAATTATTAGAGCCACTCTCTGACCTCTACTTCAGTACTGTTTTCACTGTACCACACTGCCTCTGAAGTAAGGTTAATATTGCTATTTTCAACAAATGTGTAAATTCAAATGTTTTACATTGATATTCCTAAATATTAAAAAGGATTCCTTTTTTATTTTGAGAACAAAGGCATAACGGATTTACCCCACCCCCAAAATAAAACATTAAAAGACTTTAAATCTGAAAATCTTGCTTAGTGGATGTTTCACAAAAGTTCAAAATTTACATAAAGAAAAGTCAAGTATCCCAAAATCATTCCTCATTGGCAAATACCAATTATCTTTCAAAAAAAGATACTATTTTGTCAATGTCTCCTGGCTAGAATATAAATTACAAGGCAGAGATTTTACCTAGTTTGTTCAATGTATCACCTAGAATCGTGTACATAAAAGGTGCTTAGTAAATATTTACTGAATTAACAATTATAAATTCAAATAAAATCTATGTCATTTTCTCTGTGATAGATGCCAGTGTTATACATAGGTATTAGCTTGAACCATATACAAAACTGCTGCTACTCAACTACTTTTCACCTACAAAGAGGCAATTTCATATGGTTCAACCTAATTGTTTTTAAAAAGCTTTCTGGAGTATAACATTACAAAGTAAAGAAGTAAACAGATATTGTGAAAGCTAACACAGAAATGGAAAAATTTTTTCTCCTAAGAAAAATTTATTATACGAAAGCTGCCGAAGGCTTCAGGTCCTATGCTGAGATATTCTCAAGAATCATCTATAACACTCCCACACTTTTAAAGAGGATCATGATTCACATTTTTTTGCATTTAAAATAACTCCCGTTTTGGTGTTTATGTACATATACACTCACATGTGTAAATATGAAAAACATATTAAGAACATGGACTATAGTTCTCTTTATTAGCTAATTCTGATTTAATGTAAATGTTCAAGTATCTAATTAGGTATAATTCTAACTATTATCAATGAGTAAAATAAATTCCAGTCTCCAGAGATCACATTAAAAAGCTAATCTGGGGGCTTCCCTGGTGGCGCAGTGGTTGAGAGTCTGCCTGCCGATGCAGGGGACACGGGTTCATGCCCCGAGAGGCCTGCGTACCGCAAAAACAAAAAACAAAAAACTAATCTGGACATATTACCTTTTCCAATACACTAACACATCAGGCTAAAAAAGGTGATTGATATGTAGTTACTCCACATTTAATTTTCTTCATCATTAGAAATATACCTAACATTAATACATTTCTTTAAGTAGATTACTTCAAAAAGTATCATAGGAAAACCACACTTTATTCAGTGTTTTACTGATGTCCTTTTCTTCTACATTTCCAAGAAAAACCCAGACTAATGTAGCTTTACTAATGTCCCTTAAAAGAGAGAAAGAGAAATGTCAAAATATGTCCAAACAAATCTGCTTTACATTTCTAGAAATAAAAGAATGTCACTTAAACATGAGTTTCTAATTTTTATACATAATTTTGTCCATCTAGACCTTAAGATTACATAACTAACATTCCAAAAATCACAACTTTTAAATATATATGAAATAAAGAAAGTATCTGGGTTATAAAAGATTTTAGTATCAAATAAAGTATAATTTACATGATTAAAAGGTTTTGATTTCCATTCTACTTAGTGTAAGAAGCTGACAAAGTATAGTTTCTAAGTCAAATGATTTTTATCTTCTCATATTTCAAATGAAATGTTAATGGCCTAAAACGAAACAATCTGCCATGAATGACAATAAGCAAGGGTAGCACATATCATCAGCAAGTTATCAAATGTCACAAGTTCATATTTTTCTTGTTTGTGATCCCCAAACTGGCAGCATTTTCATTTCATCCACTCTGTTCTTATGTATTTGAAAAGCAGGTGTTATCCATCTACCACATGAGCACTGTTCACCATACCAGTTGAAAGAACCCAACTTGGCATTGCATTTGGGGCAAAGAAGCTGAAATAAAATAAATGTGTTACTTCATTCATTCACTTTTATACAAAACAAATAATTATCTTTGGTAATATATGATATAAAAACAGGTAAGACATGGCTCATGCCTTCAAGGAGTTGATGGTCTAATCAGTGAGATGTAATGGCAATTTACTGTAATAGATAGTAGGCTACAATAATTGTGTAAGAAGTATGTTGTACTCTGGGAGTTTAAAGGAGGAATAGATTAATTCCAGCATTAAGGGAGAAAGGTGAAGGTTGAGATGTGAAACAGAAGGTTTTGTGACTGTTTTGTGACCGTGGCACATGTGTTGACTTTTAAATCATCGACAAGCTATATAGAAAGTCCGGGCATAAAACTCAGAAACTAGAATTGATTACATAAATATCTTAAATTTTAGTTTGACAAAATATACCACATTCCTCAAAACAATTAAACACAGAGTTACTATATGATCCAGTAATTCCACTTCTAGGTATATACCCCAAAGAGATAAAAGCAGGGACTCAAACAGATATTTGTATACCCATGTTCATAGCAGCATTACTCACAATATTCAAAGGGAAGAAGCAACCCAAATGTCCAGGGATAGATGAACGGATAAACAAAATGTGGGGCTTCCCTGGTGGTGCAGTGGTTGAGAGTCTGCCTGCCGATGCAGGGGACACGGGTTCGTGCCCCGGTCCAGGAAGATCCCACATGCCGCGGAGCAGCTAGGCCTGTGAGCCATGGCTGCTGAGCCTGCGCGTCCAGAGCCTGTGTTCCGCAACGGGAGAGGCCACAACAGTGAGAGGCCCACGTACCACAAAAAAAAAAAAAAAATGTGGTAGCCTATACATAAAATGGAATATTATTCAGCACTAAAAAGGAAGGAAACTCTGATACATGCTATAACATGGATGAACCTTGAGGACATTATGCCAAGTGCAATAAGCCAGTCACAAAAGGACAAATATATGTGTAATTCCACTTTATGAGGCACCTGGAGTAGTCAAATTCATAAAGACAGAAAGTAGAATGGTGGTTGCCAGGGCCTGGCGGGGGCGGTATGGGGAATTCGTGTTTAACGGGTATGGCATTGCAGTTGGGGAAGATGGTGGTGACGGTTGCACAACAATGTGAATGTTCTCAAGGCTACTGAATTATACACTTAAAAATAGTTAAAATGGTAAATTTATGTTATGAATATTTTGCCACAATTTAAAAAAACCCACATTCACAATATATGTATGTCATTTATGCTGTACACCTTCAACTTATACACTGCTGTATGTCAATTATATCTCAAAAAGCTGAAGAAAAAAATGTATCACAAAGCTGAGATAAAAGCAACAGACTGGAGAAAATATCTGCAACATATGACACGAAACATTAAATCTAGACTATATAAAGAACTCCTACAAATCCATTAGAAAAAGACAAAACCCACAGAAAAATGGGCCAAGGACATGAAGGAAATTTACTGTAAAAGAAAATATAAATGGCTCATAAGTATATAAAGATGTTGGTCTCAGTAGCAGTCATGGAGATTCAAGTTAAAACATTTTAGGATTAACATTTTTCATCTCACAGACTGACAGACTGACAAAATCTTACCAATTTTACAATATCCATTATGTCAAGGGTATGGGGAAATGAGTATATGCATTCAACATTAGTAAAAGGCAAATTTGTATGGGCATTGTTAATGTCAGCCCAGACTATCAGTAATATTTAAAATGTACACACTCCTCAAGCCAGGATTTCCACTTTTAGGTATATATTCTATAAGAAAATTCAAATAAGTGTACAAAGAAGTACGCACAAATGTGATCTAGAATATTTCACAAAAACGCCTTTATCTTGTGTTTTCCGGGTTAAATAAAAGCAGCAAGGGAATTTCCTGGCAGTCCAGTGGTTAAGACTCCACACTGCCACTGCTGAGGGCCCAGGTTCAATCCCTGGTTGGGGAACTAGGATCCCACAAGCTGCAAGGCACGCCCCAAAAAACAATAAACAAAAGCAGCAAGCCAAAAGCACAAGCCACAAAAGAAAAAAACAGATGAGGTGGACTTCAACAAATAATATCATCAAGAATGGGAAGTGACTGCTGTACAAGGTTTATTTGGTAGCGATAAAAATGGTGATAGCTGCAAAAACCTCTGTGAATATACTAAAAACCACTGAACTGTACACTTTCAATGGGTACATTATATGGTAAGTGAATTATACCTCAATAAAGCAGCATTATCTGAAACCATGGGTTTGAATATAGGGTACCTCTTTCTAGGCAAGACACTAACTAATGCAAACTAAGTTTCCTCACATATAAAATGTGAATAGATATGTGCTCGATTTTATAAAGTTATTGTATTCTTCAAATGAAATAATACAGTGAAAAGGTTTCATAAAATACTCACCATACAAACTTATACAAACTTTAAACATCATTATGTCTTAGATTTAGAATATCTTTAGATTAATATCATGTAAACCTAAAGGAGAATTGTGGCTGTCACAGGATGCTCATATGAGCTGCATTCTTTAGAATTAACAGGAAATGAAAAAAAATCTCACAACAAACATACAAAACTGAAAGATCAAGAAAACAAACACACAGAGCCAAAAGAGAAAAAAAGAAAGACTAAGAAGAAATTTAAAATCTAATTTTAAAATGCTTGATTTGCCCTACTTCTTACAAAGTTCAAGTTTTGTTAAATATATTCTCATTAGTTTGTTAGTCTTAATTTGAAAAAATACAAACAATACCCTTAAAAGGAATTAATTAACTTAGACCAACAGCTTTCCACCAAAAGTGGTTCACTATTTTACATCAGCTGGTTTTTATTTGACTAATTTATCTTTGATAAAGTCTTATCTATATTAGAAAGATATTAAACTTTAGAAAGAAAGCAGTTAAGATGGAGTAAAATGCTAGTTAAAATATGGTTTAAAATGAAAGGAACAAAATGTAGATGACATAATAAAACCGTAGAAAGTAAAATGTGTTCTCACCTGTCCATCCATCACTCCCAACAAAGTGGATTCCATCCACTGCACAGGTTCAATGAAATAAGATGTACATTGAGCCTGACTCCCTGTAGTAAGCATGAAGGATGGTGTCATTCTCTTGTGGGCAAAGGCTATAGGACCACTTCCTTCATTATGATCCAAAATGCTAGAACTTCGAAATAAAGATAGCCTGCAACCCCCAAACAAACAAAATCATTAATGACTTGGAAAAGGATGAAAAAATAGATTAAATGTGCAGTTATTTCTTAAGGGGCAAATTAATATAACATTGATTATGCTACTTTAATTTTCAATTACTTCTACAAGTAACCGCATTACTTTTACTTTTAAGAATTCATATTCTTCTTGAAACCAGATTTGAATATGAAATTTCTGTATTATTCAATTAAACAAATTCCTCCTACTAGATTTTAAGAAACTGAAACTTTCAGTACTTTTCAGCTACTGAGACAAAATAAAATCTCCAGAGGATACAAAATATTTTACCTGCACTTTCTACATTTGTAGAGAACCCCATCCTTCAATCCTTGTGTAATGGCGGATGGGTCAACAGCAAAGAGTTCTTGAGGTAAGTTCTGCAATTCTACATGACACAAAATGTATCCATTTGTCAAAATCAACTCTGCATTTTCAGACAAAATTCAGCTAATGTCAAATTGAGGCAAGTAGTGCTAACTTCAGAAATTAAAAAATATATATATTCTCCATTGTTGAGAAATCAGGATGAGGTAGGAGGGCACAGTGATCAAGCCCTTGGGTTCCAGGCACAGACTGCCTGAGTTCAAATTCAAGCCAGCCACTTACAAACCTTGTGACCCTGAACAAGCTATTTCTTGCTGAACCATGGTTTCAAAAGGAAATAAATACCTATCTCAAGGGATCGCTGGAAAAAGGGATAATGCACCTGAAACATCTGGTGTCAGAGTAAACAGCATCTAGAAAGGACCAAACACATACTACCAATTATTACTCACCTGGATACTTCTCTGTAACCTTTTGTAAACGATACTGTTTATAAATTGCACTAGAGGTATCTACTTCACATCCCATTGCCTGGTATAATTTCAGTTGCCACTCAAACCCCTCATTCATCCTGCAAGGACAAACAAACATAGTTAATTTTTCTTTAAATAAATAAAATCACATCACAAAAGCAGAATTATTACTACGACAAAGAACTCACTTAGCCTCTGGTTTGATAGTCTTAAGGTTTTCATAGGCTTTTTCAAAGGTAAGTTGGTCAGTCTTCATCATAAAAGCAGTCATTACAGCCACACTTCGACTGACCCCTGCGTGACTGAAAAAGAAACCCTTAAAATATCAAATAGCAACAATTAAAAAAACCCAGCCCCCCACTAATGGTAAAGTTCAGGTCCACTTCTTATCTGCTTCTTCTACTCAAATAAACCCTTTGCCTCTGAATTACTACTGCTGTACAAAAGAATTATTCCCTTATTTCCTTATTCATTTTGAATTCTGAACCATATGAAGGTATTACCTATTCAAAAATAATTACACTAATTTTTTTTAACATTTTATAATGCCTTCAGAAAAAATCTAAACTCCTTTGCTGGCTTTAAGAGCCCTGGAGATCTGATCCCAGACTTCTTTCCCTTTTATCACTACCTTATGTCCTTTATGTAATATTTAGAACAAATGCTGGCAGTAAAAGTGCTGGCTCAATAAATGTAAACTATCGTTATTACACTCTTTTTGCCATTGCTATCACCTACTCCATCTTTCCCCTAGGAATGGCTTAGGGATCCTTAACGTCCTAACCAATTTTTCTCTCCCCAAATTTCCCCTACATCAGCCACCCCGCCTCAAACAAAAGCAATGAAAATAATTTCCTCTGAAGTTTGAATAACCTTAACCTTTGTTAATCACTTACTACACACCTCGCATCCTAGTCTGCATTACAATAATCTGGGTATGTGTGTGGCCTCTCGTGAACAGGTTTAAACTCTGTAGGTGCAGGGACTCTGTCATTTACCTGAAGATTCCTCCTACCTCCGAAACAAAACTCAGCGGCTGCAGGATGAACCAACACAAACTGAATGAAGGAAAGCCTGCACGCCATCAGGGGCCCGCCTCCTGCCCGATCCTCTCTCAGACACAAGCCTGTGCGAGAGGGAGGAGGAGAAGGTTCTAGTGGCCGACAGCCCCTTCGTCCTCTTCTGGGGCCTGGGAGAAGGGTGAGGGGGGCAGGCTGGAAGCGTGGCGGGGTTGCTCTCCCCACGGACCCGGCCACTCACCAATGCACCAGCACCGCGCGGCCCTCGGCGCGGGCCTGGCCGATGAAGGCCACGCACCGGTCCAGATGGCTAAGCAGGTCGGTCTCGGGTTTGTCCAGCGCTGGCACGAAGAGACTCCGTAGACCCTCGACCCCAGCCCCCGTGTTGAAGTCGGTCTCCTCCGAGTCGACCGTCAGCACAGCCGTGATGCCCGCCCCTCTCAGGTGGTCCGGCTCCGCGACTGCCGCAGCTCCACCCAGGAACAGCCCCGGCCGCACCTCCAGCATGTGCTCAGCGGAGCTGGCCCGGGTCCGGCTGCCGGCCGTGCGTTCGCATCCATGGCTCCCGTACTGAGGCTCCAACATGGCGGCGCCCGGAAGCCGGACTGAGGAGGGCCCTACCATCGAGTAGGGGGTCGGCTAGAACGTCCTTCATCTAGGACCGGCCGGCCTGAGTTGCGCCGCCGCTCCCTCTTGGGACCACGTCTACCGCGGGAATGTGGATTTACTGGGGGAAGGTGACGTTACTGCGGCTGGGGCGGAGCTAAACCCCGTTCAAAACTGCCTCTGGACCCTTGTCTCTACCCGGCTCCTCCAACTTGGTGGGATAGGATAAACTAACGCTAATACAGGGTTTCTCAGGCTCTTAGTGTTGAGATTTTCTGGATTTTCTGCAGGAGCAGAAAATGGACTCAAACTGAAATGATGGTCCCACCAACTGAATCAGCTGCATAATTTTATGCCTTTGAAATAAAACATTTTTTCAATGCTTATGAAGCCATTTGTTTGTAGTTCTTCTCTTGGGACTATTTTTCCTTTTTTTTTTTTCTTTTTGTCCCGTTTTTTATTGGTATGTGAATCCTTTTCTTGTTGATGTATACTGTTCTATATATTTGAAGATATTAATCCCATGGTTTTGTGTGTCAGTGCCCTCCAGCCAAAGACCACCAAGAATCCACCTGTAGTTAAGTAAATTGGGTTTATTACTCAACCATGAACTGGAGAATTTTGGGAAATCTAGGTAAGAGAGTGTTAGGAAGATCTATTACAGGATTTGAGCTTGTATTAGATGAGTTTGGGCTAAGGGTCTAAGGGACTAAGCATCTAAAGAAGCAGGACTTTGCTCTGGATTGGATGCTGTCAGGAAGTGGGGGTGATTCTATGACTGGGTATCTTAATAAATCTTACCTAAGGGAGGAAAGGCTAGAGAGACACTAAAGCTGTAACTGGTCAAGAAGTAGCAGTCAGTCATGGTCCTGGCATAAAGACCAAAACATGTTTGGCATTTTGAAGTTGGACAATGTTCCTGTGTTCAGACATGATTACGGTGGTCTTGTTTTTGTTTTAAGGGCATAAAAAGATTTATTACTCACATAATGAGGCTTTCTGGAGATAGCACGGTGACTCACAAGTAGGTCCAAAAATGAATTGAGAAAGCAGAGACAGAAAACTGGCTTGGGGTTTATATTGCTGTTAGAGTATGGGCCCAGAGTGAGGATTCCCACATGAGCAGGGAATTTCATGGTGGTCTTGTTTCTGTCTTTCTTCATCATGAGCTCAGTGTTGCCTTGTCTGGGGTTGATGTCCTGTGAAATTGTTTATATTCAGCAGGAGGGGAAAAACACCTAACTGTGAGTGCCCAGCCAGCTGTAGCAACACTAAGGAAGATCTACCTCGTAGTTCCAGGCCAGTTCCTGGATGCCAGGGCTTGCTTTTGTCTTTCTCATATATAACTTTATAATTTTCAGAGAGATTGAGATTCGGGGCAGGGACACTTGAGCCCCATCCAAGTCAGATGGAGGAAGCAGCAAATGCTTCTGCTTGGGAACACTTAAGTGGGCAGCCTGCGGGGATAGAGGAAGAGTGCTATCTTCCCTTACTCCCACCACAGGCTGTGAACCTCTTCAGGGTAAGGACTTTGCTTTTTCATCTTTGTATCCCCCACAGAATTTAGGCTAATGGTGCTGGTTACTCCATCTTTTGAATGTTAGAAATGGAAGGGAAAGGAGTACCAGAAGAGACACTACTTCCCTCTCAATGCCATTTCCTTCCGCATCCCAAAGGGTTTACCTCAAGGGCTCACTTAGCGTTTTTGCCTGGAGAGTCATGTTAGCGGTCTTCTGAGCCCCCAGTTGAATCAACTCAACCTTTCTCACTTTACAATCCTGGAAGCATCTACTATGTGTCGGGCACTACAGTAGATGCTGAGGCTACAAAATGAATAAGAGTCTTTGCCCTCGAGGAACTTAGAGAGAAAGCTGGAATAAAAGATAAGTAAATAGCCCAATTATTGTTCTGATAGAAGTAAGGGCAAATTACTAAGGAAGCATGTGGGAGCTGGGCATCTAACCCTAATGGAAGGGGAGTAATCAAGGATAGCTTCCCAGAGGAAGTGATGCTTGATCTAGGTCTTGTAGGATAAATGGGAATTTGTCGGGCAAAAAGGAGGGAGGTGAGGCACTTGTTTAATTCTCCCAGCACATTCCAAAGAGAAGTCTGTCTTCAGGAGGACTACCCTTGACCAGCTCCTGGGAGACAATCTCTGAGCCCCCAGAATAGCCTGCCTGATAAAAGTGTTTTTGAATGCCTGAAGCCCTGGGCCATGCTGTATCAGTTTGACCTCTGGGAGGCTGGAGATGGAGTAGTTATGCTCAGTCATGCAGGAGCTGCATGCCTATGTGACTGGCCCCCAATAAAACCCCTGGATACCAAGTTTGGGTAAGCTTCCTGTTTGGCCATACTTCAAGTGTGTTGTTACACGTCATTACTGGGAGAAAGAAGCAAGTGCCTCTGTGACTCCACTAGGAGGGGTATCTGGAAGCTTGCACCTGGCTTCTCTTGGACTTCACCAATGCACCTTTTCTCTTTGCTGATCTGAATCTGTATTCTTTCACTGGAATAAGCCATAACTTTGTATAATTGCTCTTCTGAGTTCTGCAAATCCTTCCAGTGACTCAGCAAGCCTGAAGGAGCCTGGTGACCCCTGACACAGCATCCATTGTCTAGTATAGTGAAAAGCTAGAAACATCTAAATAAATGCAAGTAATGGAGTGGTTAAAGAAGTTGTTTTATACATTCAATAAAATACTAGGCAACGATTTAAAAAGATAACAAAGGAAGTGGTTGATGCTAGCCATATTATAAAATTTTTTAAGATGGTTTACAAATAGAAAGCATGTCTGAGCATATATATGTGTATATATATATGTATGTATGTATAGGAATATATACATATGAACTGTTAACAGTGGTTATTTCTGGGAGCTGGCATGAGGAGACTTACATGATAGGCTTTATACACTTCTTTCTATATAGTTTTAATCTTTTTTCAACAGGTATTATTAAAATTATTCACTGTTAACAATCATAGGTATTGACATTCTGGAAAAATGGGGGAAAAAAGAATTAAGGGTTAATTTCCTGGACATTTTATTAAGATATCCTAATCATTCCCTCAGCTTTATTAGTTTTCTGTTGGGAATGAGCTTTTCTTCCTCAACGCCCTAAAATGAATATAGGTTCTTTCAAGGATGGGAGTAAGAGACACTTCTGAATTGTTGTTGAATACCCACAAAGCCCGTCTCAGTGAATATCTGTATCTGGGTGAATAATAACGCCTCAATTCCTGAGGCTGAAGTGTATTTACCAGCTTCTGTATTTTTCCTCCTAGCCACTAGTTGGCACCATGTGCCCTTTGGCAAGATACATTTTCTGTACCTCCCTTGAAACAGGGGAAAATGAATATGGCGACATGCAAAAAAGCAGGATGTTAGGCCCAGGGAAGGAAATTCGTCTTTAGAGGGGCAGCTGGGTTGCTTCCTGTCAAGGAGAAGAGAAGAGGCTCTATGTCCTAGCACTGGTAGGCGCACGTGTGCGTGCACACACACATGCACGATGTATCTGTTCATTTTATTACGAGCAAGCCTACATCATTGATAAGCATGAATTAGGCAAAAATTCTAAGAGATAGTCTAGTATGCTGTGGTTTGCATTTTAAGAAGACACCCACGCATTCTATGTAACATGGCCTAATCACATGAGAATACACATCACCCAGCCTTCCCGTTCTTTGGTTTTCTTCTAGAGCACAGTCACGAGTATGATTCATCACTTTCATCTTTAAAAATATTTGCTGTAAGTGCATATCTGTGCTGAGCAATGAGCAGAGAAACTTACCCTCTTCTGCCCCATTGCCTCCCCATCATGGTCCAAACACAAGTTCCTCTTTCTATCTCCAACATGTTGCCTAGGCCCTCCTACACCCAATGAATTATCAGTAAATGTTTGCCAATTATGTTCTTAATGGGGCTTAAGATCTAGGACAGTTATGAAGATACACATGAAATGTACTTTAAGATCCCCAAATCAAAATGTTGACGAAAAATATAAATGGGTGATAATAACATAATTCTATTACTTTCTCTGTGTTCGTGAGTAGAAGGTGTATACTTACAAAATGGTGAGTTCAGATTTGGTACTGTCTTTGAGGGGCACAGTCTGAAGACAGAGAAAACCCAAGTCTGAATCCCAAACTGCTTCTGACCCTATTACCTATTAATGTGATTGTATGCCTGTAGAAAATTATATGATTTCTCTAAGCCTCAGTTTCTTCACCTGCAAAATAGGAGTAATTATAGCCATATTACAGAGTTCTAACAAGAATTAACTTATCAACATGTATTATTAGTGGGAGAAAGAAATCCCAAGCTGAACCATTGCATCAGAAGCAGCTCGGAGAGGATTCCATGCAGGAGAGGCTGAGCTGTGGTGAGGGAGAAATGGCTGCAGATGGCTTGTCTTGAGGAAGCTGTTGAGCAGAGATAAATTGCTGAGCGTGATCAGTCCAGGAATTCAATGGTCATGAGATTTAACAGAAAGTGGATCCTAACTACCCATCCAGCTACAACCACACCCTGAAGTCCACTTATTTTTTGTGTGTGTGTGGTACGCGGGCCTCTCACTATTGTGGCCTCTCCCGCTGCGGAGCACAGGCTCTGGACGCGCAGGCTCAGCGGCCATGGCTCATGGGCCCAGCCGCTCCGCGGCATGTGTGATCTCCCCGGACCGGGGCATGAACCCGTGTCCCCTGCATCGGCAGGCGGACTCTCAACCACTGTGCCACCAGGGAAGCCCCCTGAAGTCCACTTATTAATGTAGAGTCTGTGTCTTGGTAAAGATGTGTCCTCCTTCCCTAGAAGGGCATCTATTGTCAAGATTCTGAGGGAATAATTTCAGCTCCACAAACCCTGGGACCAGAGATGACTGAATAAAGTTGAAGCCCCCTCGTTATGTAAGGACAACTTGGTCAGCTGATCCAACAACTCCTCCTGCCTTATTCCCAACTGCGTCCCCCACTCACCCCCAGTATTTACAAACTCATCACATTGTAGGACTATCCATATGAGGAATACTAGGGCAGGAAC